GCTCAAAGAAGGTGTACTTTCTTTTTCACACAACTGTATATATAGCCACTTTGCTTTCATAAACAACTATTTATTTAGTTTAAGGTTGACAAGATAGATAACCATATAGTACAATTCAAGTAACATTAAAATGCACGGTAATATAAAAAAGAAATTTGTATATTCATCAGAGTTTTCACCAGGATGGGTGAGGGGAGGATATGAAATGTTATCCCACCGTACAACTTCTGTTTGTTCAGATGGGCATACTGGATTCAAAGACAGTATTTGTTTACATCACAAATGTATAATTTATGGCCTACTTTTCTGAAGACCAAAGCCTGCACAAATTGTGCCACTGGATTTTGCCAACAAACTAAAAAGGAGAGAGAGAGAGGTTGCATGATTTCCTGCAATGTTTTGAGGCAAAACTACTAAAAATGGACAGGTAAGCATTTTGTAGTTCCTACATTTTGAAGGGCACCGGACTGGGAATGGTTGCCATATGTATCTGGAAGCAAGCTTTCTCAGATATGGCCCTGCTCCTTTTGTTCCTGATATTCCAAAAAGGTGTTGAGATACTGCTTTTTCACAGAGTCTTCAGGTACTAAAGTGGAAGGTAATATACTATGAGAATATCTTGCATGCTAAATAAGAGGAGGTCATTGTGCTATGAATGCAATACTACTGGATATTTATTGAGATACTGATTTTGTATTTTATTCTTTTTATACTTTGTTATATTTAGACTGTGTTACACCTTGTCATATTCTTATTGCATTGTATGGGACTGTATAAGCTTCTTAGCATTAAGTGGTAGAAGTGGCATTTAAGCCTTGTGTGGGATGGGCAGCCATATCAATTTGATTAAATAAATAAATAAAAGTCATAATAGAGAAATATCAATTTTCAGTAGCCTTTCCCAACCTGGCACACTCAATGTGTTGATACTGAAATTCCTATCCAGTAAGGTAGCTGGAAAATTTGGGGAATTGCAGCCCCAACAAATTTGGAAGAAATCAAGGAAGGAATGGTTGGTATATGCAACACCACAAAAGGAATACCAAATAAGTAAGGGACGTTTGCCCAGGTACAGGGATAGATAAGAAAGTCATCTGAACCATATAACAGAGGAGGAAGATAACCCCATATTTGCAGATAACTGTGCAGATTATGAATTTGTGCAAGTCATAAATACGAATATGTGTGTGCCTCTACAAAAGAAAAATTGCAGCCAGTATAGAATATGCCATTGCACCTAAATGAACTTGTTCCATATTTCAACCTTCATGCTTTAGTCACGTTTGCAAATCAAAGCAACTATCTTCTAATCCTCAATAAGAACTTTTCTCAACTAATGGTAAGGTAAATAATATAACTCAATGTTTTTTGTTTTCTTTTGATATGCCAGTTGCAGCCAGATAAACAACATTTCTGACACAAACAAGTTTATTCTTTTGTAAGTGTTGTCTTAAAATGATGTTTCAAAAGCTTTCAAGTTTATGTTTTCTGATTATATACTGTAAAAATGGTAATATAGAATATGGAGGGCAAGAAAGTATCTGTTAGTTAGCATTGCAGGATACTATTCGAAGGAGACTACCTGTGCAATATCTCAGCTTAGGTATATGTATTTTGTGTCCATTCTCCAATGAACATTTGGAATTTAGAGAGAAGTGCTATTATTTCTTAATTACAACGTTGAATTATTGAGGTTAAAAAATTCCAATAATTAATTTCAATTAAAAATTGCATAGACTGAACTCATGTGCTTCATGGAAGAGGAAAGAATAAAAAGTGAAATTAAAACAAAACCACATTTAACTAAAAAGAAACCAGCAGGAATAGTTTTAGTCCTTATCTTGATTATTTTTTTTCAGGGTTAACATTTTTCTAGTTATGAGTAGAAATAAAAGAACTTACAGGTGTTTCCTGTCCCAGGTGAAGCCTACCATTTCAAACTAAATCTAAGTTTACAAAAACGATAATATGCACATGGGAAAGAAATCAAGTACAGCAAATAAACCACAGAAACTCTATACTACATATGAAAGCCAAACAATATTCACAGCAGACAGAATTCTGTACAGGGGTATTTGTGCTGGATTTTAGTATGGAATTTCAGGCCATACCCAAATCCAAAATCCCATGTGACTACCTAGCAGCCTGCAATGTTTTTCTGCATGACAGAAACCTCAGTAGTTTAAAATGAAGGCAGCAGATCCAAACGCACAGAGGAGTGTGCACAAGGAACAGCTTCTACAAGAGATATGAATAATGACACAGGTTCTTCAGATACAAGGTTCTTCTAACTAATGTATGTAGTTTTCCACTGTATAGGTGTGCAAGCAAGAAAAACAAATCCACTGAATTGTAAATAGTAAAGCAAATTTTATCATGTTAACAATAGACTTTAACTAATTATTCTAAAAAACTGCTGCAAATGGTTATAACATACATTAATCTTAATTAATAAAAATAACAGCAAAAAGCAAGTATTTCCAATTACCTTGGCTGACGATGACATCTTTGTGTCTATGGAGAGAAATGCATGGTATTACTAATATATGAAAGTATGAATCTGAAAACTTATATTATTTATCTCTAAACTGGAGCCCTCCAGATGGGTTAGCATAATTCTATGGTGATAGGACCCATTGTATTTACTGCCTGGAGATAATGACTACTGTATTCCAACAGAATTGGAGGGTAATAGACAGGGGAAGACTGATTTTGATCTTAAAATACAGTGACATCGATACTTTGGAATATAAATCAAGTTACAGTGTTAAATCACTTACATGAAAGGTTATGGATAAAAATATGCATTTTTAAAATGGAATTTTCTACATGAATCTATTTTTAGAACTTCAATGTTTTTAAGTCCTTCAATATTTTTAAAAGTAATTTGGCTTTGTATGAAATCTGAATTAAAAAAGGGAAAACTCTAATTAAGTAATGGCACAAACAGAATAATTGACTTCAAAGCTACCCAGTTAAAGAAAACTAATGTGGTAAGATAAGAATGCAGGTGTATAGAAGCCTGCAACATACACCTGTAGCTTTTCTTGGTGTCTAGAACTACACCACCCAAAAAGCATGCAGGTTCATGACTTGCAGATCAAAACATTAACCAAATTTTGGAAAAGGGGTGAAAATCAATGCAACTGCTTAGGGCAATATCCAACATTTCATCATTTTGCTCAAGGAACATGATCTTCCCCATCCTTCCCCATCTTAATTCCCACATCTGCTCCTGATGCTTTTATTTAGAACAGATTGGGTGGTGGCAGTGATGAACTCAAGGGAAAGGGAAATCCATTCCACCAGTGAGAGTGATGGACAGCACTGGTCTTCAAAACTACTATACATTTTTACAAAACTTGATATACTAACAACTAGGATAACTTTTTTGATGCCAACAAGGAATCCAGTACTTACTTGTCTGCATTCTTGCCACTTTTGGGTATCAATTTTGATGCGGAAGTTGCCCTTACTAATTTATTACGACTATCTTCTGAACTTTCCCATGCACTATGTGATTTTTCAACTGTTGACAATCTCTTCAAGCTAGAAAGACAAGCACAGTGTATTTCTATATTTAGTATATATTAAACCAAGAACTAAATGAGATACTGCAAGCAATTGTACTGGAAACAAAACAGGTCAAGCAGCAGGAGATAAAAGAAATGCCAGGATAGGCCTTTCTCCAAGCAAATCCACAGGACCCTCAGAAATAAGGATTAGATAGTGCTCTAACTGGATCTTTAAAGACAGTCAAAAGGGCAACATTTTTTAAAGCCTCTTAGCACAGTTATCAAAGGTTGCTCTAAAACACTTGGTAAAAATAAAAAGATCACTTGACTGGCATGACATTCTTATTCACAAATGTTTAAAATCAAGAAACAACAACTTAACAACTTTACCCATCCCAAATCAGGGGAAAACCAGGGGAGGTTTTTAAGTAAAGGAGCTTATGAGTCCTAGCTGGACATGTGCTCAAAGCTCTTCTTTAAACTTTTATTTTCCATCTGGTTCTGGCTGGTGGACCACTTTAATAGGATTATAGAGAACGAATGATTGCTAATCTTTAGCACAGTAAAGTAAGCTGTCACTATGAGTGACTAAAAATGAGAAAGCTTCCCTCTGAAGCCACAGCTGCCCCTGGTCTTCAAACGGTCGCTGCAAGTCCAGGAAAAACCCCAAACTGTGCACCAGTTCCATTTGGGGAAGTACAATTCAGAGATAAGGACAGAAAATCACCGAAGCCAGATGGTCCATGAACCATTGCCATGCAGTCTTGCTAGGGTTGAACCTAAGCCTGTCCCTCCCCATTCAGACCATAACAGCCTCCAGGCACTGGACAAAACCTTGACAGCATCACTTGGCTGTCCAGGGACCGAGATGTACAATTGACTATCATCTGTGTACAGATGCTACTTGACCCCATGCTGACAGATGCTCCCAGTAGTTTTATTTAGAAGTTAAATAAAGGGTGAGAGCATAAGCAGAAAGAGTGAGAACATCAAACTTGGTGGCATCCTGCAAACTAGGAGCTTCCATACCAACTGGAAACAGCCATAGAGAAAGGAGGAGAATCAGTGCAACACTGTGTCTCCCACTTCCAGTCTCCTTAGTTGGTCCAGAAAGATACCATGATCGATAGTATTGAAACCTGCTGAAAGATAAGAAGAAGCAGGATGGTTGTACCATGACCACCCTGGTTCCACAAAAGTTTATGAGTAAATGTTGTCTGAATCCAATGCTCCAGAATGAAACCTGAAGCTCCAGCCCAACCACCTTCTCAAGAACCTTCTCTTATAAGGGGAGGCTGGAGATTGGACAAATTAGGTCTAGGATTGTTGGGTCCAATAATGACTTCTTGAGGGGTGTACCACCACCTCCTTCAAGGTGAACATGATTACTGCCTCACTCAAAAAGGAATTAATCACCACATGGATCCAGCCACATGTCATCTTTTGACAAACCTTCACCAACCAGAAGGGACATGGATTTAATGAACAAGTGGCTGGATTAAAAGACCCAAGAACCTTGTCCACTAACTTGGGAGATACAGGATAAACTTCTTCCAGATAATGAAGCAAGACTGTGACTCAGTCAACTTGATAGATAGCCTAGTTAGAGTCCAATTCAGAATGAATCTGAGCAACTCCATCTATCAGATGCCTTGTTTGGTAAGACAGTGACAATATATTTGGCAGGAAATATCCTATATTCCCTTCCCTGGTGCCAAGTGATACTGTGTCAGTAAACCAGGAATGACTTTAAAATGCAGAGTTAATGTAATGAATTTATTGTGTGTAGCAGGTTTCAAAAACATAGAGTTTTTCAAATTGATAAAAAACAATGCACAAATGATTTCAAAAGCTAGAAGCCTTATTTTACCTCTATTAATCTACCTTAAGAATGTATACAATGATAAAATATTTAACACAATAAGAATTTATGACTTGGAAAAGAACACAGAGTTATGTCAGATTAGCTCTCAAACATAGGAAATGAATGATCAAGTAAATAATCAGATTAGGCTTCAGTCATTTCAGCTTTCTGAAATAAAAGCTTATGGGCTCTTATTTCTCTAGATCTGGTAAGCAGTTATACTTATACGCCTTGATGTAGAAATGTGTTCCCTAGTTGAATACACTATGCTATGATAAACTATTTTTGCAACCTTTTGATAATATTTAATCCTATTGCGACCTGTAATAAATACACTTGTGTTTCAGTAAAAGAAAAGTGTACTTCCTCAAAGAATAACTAAGTATATGTTCTGAATATCTTGAGGCTATCAAGGAAGCCTGACACCACAAAAACCCTGAATGAAGCCAGTAACTAATAAACTATTGGTTGAACTAAAATTGTATCTCATTAGGATATTTTTGAATATAGATCAGTAGCTCACAATCTGCAGTATTACAAATCTTAAGAATGCTCTTGCAATAGTCTAGATGAAACACTGAGCCCCATACTTTGGAGTTCACATAAATATTAAGCATGACATACTAAAAGTAATAAGCCTTTTGTCTGGATATTAATCATTATAGTTAACAGTTAACAGCTTAAGAAAATGTGGTTCTATTTTTGCCTGGTTTAGCAAGAAGACAGGTACAAATGAGGCTGAAAGTTAGAATACCTCACAGTTCCTACAGTTGCCCAATTAACTGCCTTGCTATGCATCCAGTTAAAACAATTTTTAAAAGACAATTTGTGCAACAGTAAGTTAATTTCCACAAGAATTTCAAAAGCTAAAAGGAAAAAGAGAAAGTGACAAAAGTTACAAAGTCAAACATTAGAAAAAAAATGAGAGTACACATTTTCTCTTTTGCTCCGTCACAAATTAACATGCGGATTGCAGGAACAAATACCTTGTACAGCAAGATACCAGACATAACGAGTACACATTTTCTCTTTTGCTCCGTCACAAATTAACATGCGGATTGCAGGAACAAATACCTTGTACAGCAAGATACCAGACATAACGAGTACACATTTTCTCTTTTGCTCCGTCACAAATTAACATGCGGATTGCAGGAACAAATACCTTGTACAGCAAGATACCAGACATAACAGACCAAACTCCATGTTAAAGCTAAGTTTGTACTGGATAACAGAGTTCAATGAGAAACTGTTAAACATGCGTTGGTTAGAGCTGCATAAACATCATGATTTTGCTACATGGAAAACATCTGCTGTGTCTCCAAGTACTGGAAAACTAACCAGGTACAGCTTCCCAGCAGATGGGAACATGCAGAAAAAAACACGAGTGACATATATGAAAGTTTAGATTTAATCTTTGATTCCAAGTGCTCTTGCAGAAGCAAAAGGCATATTTGCGTACACATTTTTTGCTTTTTACAGCCTTCAATCTGCTATCCATCTGAGGTAGTAGAAGGTCATCAGATCTTAAACAATTATTTAATGGAATGTAACAGCTATACTTAGGACATAAGGGTCAGCAAAAAACAGTTGTGTGAATGAAACATGGCTTGCAGATCTAATGATCCAAGGCATATTTTCTATTTCACATGAATAGGAACATGAAACTCATGTTTCAACAATCTGAAGCAGCTTTAAACAGAAGTATTAGATTCCTCCCCTTTTGCAACAATATCTCTGTATGTTTGTGTTCCACAATGATTAAAATATATGGGGTTGAATCCACAGGAAGTTAGTTGTACTAGAGTTTCAGTGAAATTAATATAGCAAAATTAATCATGAATATTTGTGTTTGATTACAATGAAATTTAAGGTGAATGTAATATGCAACTAGCCCATACCTTGGGATAGGCAACCTAGTATACTACAAATGTTGTGGAGGAAAAATTCTGCAATTCCTGATTACTTTGGCTCAGCTGTTGGGAAGCTATACTCTTCTGAGGGATAACATGTCACCCATCCCTCAGCTACCCTTCAAAAACATACTTTTAAAAAGTCATTTTGATTGTGAAGCCTCCTCCATTGGAGAAAAATGCCACCAATAGCAACTGAAATGCATAACGCTATTTTATTTATTTATTTACTTAATACATTTATATGGCTGTCCATCTCATATACATGACTCTGGGCAGCTAACAATTTAAAAAAAATCTGCTGCTAATGTATTTGGGGGGAAAAAATCCGCACAAGAGATTTCAGCCTGATTCAGATCTGTAAGTGCTGTTATCTGCCAAGGTCTCAGTGACAAATTATACACTTTACATCTTCAGCCTCTCTGATTAATAGAATCAGGTAGAAGTCACCTTTAAAAGTCTCTGATTGGGATCATGGAGAACTGTTGCCTGCCATACACTGTTAGGACAGAATAATTTAT